AAAGAAATAGTTTAATAGATATGGAAATATAAAAATTATAAAAAATTTTGAAGAATACATTATTTACTATCATAATCATCATCATCATCAAACATTGGCACATGCAAAGCATGTGCACACTTACTAGTCAAAAAAAGTCTCCCAAAAGATAGTATTCATTTAGAAATAGGAAGCCCACCCAATGGTTAAGATGGTCACTTGGAAATTATCCAAAAATGGAGAGTATACGGTTAGATAATACCTAAATTTTCATCTCCACCATCTATTGTAGTCCAGTAGGAGAGTGTAGGATTAATTGTTATTCTTAGCATATTTATGTCCTAGAATTTAGTTAGAGCAGGGAGTAGTGGTAAATTCCATAACCCTTATAATTAGGGATCATAATGGATTGAAACCGGGCTGGTAAATTCCATAACCCTTATAATTAGGGATGCCCTAGAATTTAGTTATATATATATATATATATATATATATATATATNTATATATATATATATATATATATATATATATATATATATATATATATATATATATATATATATATACTATACAAGTTTTAATGGGGGAGGGAAGACGCTACAAATATTGACTATTGAAGAGGAAGGTAGAGAAAGATTTAAAAATGATTTTAGAGAAGACTAATGACAGATTTTTAACAGAAAATTAAGACATAATTAAGAGAGTTTTATGAGGAGACATGTTTATACATTAATGTGCTTTAAGAAACTTTGTGATAGAAGAATAAGATAATTGATTTAAAAGTTTGATTTTTTTTTTTCATATTCTCTATTTTTAATTTTTACTCACATGTGTGAAGGAGAGAATGGGAGACTCATCCCTGATTTGGTTGTTTCTAAGTTTGCATATAATTCCCCCACTACAAACTTATCAAAGTTAATCAGAATTTAGGAACTGAATTCAAATAAACATACGTCTCAATTGACTAGTGTAGGGAGGGAGAGAGAGTATATAAACTATCACTCATGACCAGGGTGACTAAGGTGGAACTGACTTGGATTACATGTTACATGCATGTTAGTAAAAAGCAAAACTACAAAATCTGCTGTTGATGATTTTGGTACCTCAACCCTTTTTTTAGAGAGAGAGAGAGAGCGCACTGCACAAGCAACTTGGGTGGCTAACGACTCTAACGAGGGATAGAAGTGAACATATAGAAGACATGCTTGGAATCCAAACTTTTGCATATTAAAACCTTATAAAATGATCACACCTTCACTTTTTCAGTGTACAGCTAGCCTTGCATAATCCTTACCTCATATATATATGGATTCACTCAATAGGGAGTTGAAAAGCAATTGGAAAAGGAAAGGTATCATTCTCATTTGTCACTTTGTATTCATGATCCTACTCACTTCATTTGTTATTTTTTGTAGGAAAATGATCCATCATTTGCATCACTAAAGTATATACATGCATAACCAAGTTGACTCCATTATTGGATGAGAATCAAAAAGCCCAACTAATAATAAAAATAATTAGAATCATATTGTAATTTGTTACAGTTTACTAATTATATATTCTGATCTTATGATAATAGCAAAGGATCAATCCCATTATTCTCAATAGTTAAACTATTACAAAGACTACTATTTTTGTGAAGAAGCATTGGTCCATGAAATCATTGATCACATGGTTGTAATTATTATGTTAGGTTGTTTTATGAGCTTGATCCTGTAGGGGTCAATCCCTTCCCATTTCACATGGTAGGTCTTTTGTTTCAATTATTTATGTGCTATAATGATGATCATTGGTATCTCATACCATTAAACAAACTTTTCTAGATACCCCACCCTTCTTAGAAAAGCTCTGCTTTGAATTTGTTTGGGAAACATATTTTAAATGAAAATGTCCCCATTTTGTCTAGAATTATATATATATATATATATAACAAAAAAGAAAAGAAAAGGAAATAATACTAAAAAAATATTGTAGGGATTTCATTCTGCATAAAGATTTTAACTTTTTAACATAAAACTTGATCAAAAAGGTTGTCGCTATCAATCACAAACAGGAAATATAAAAAATTCTATAAACATTTCTTTTGTTAAAATAAAAAATTTGATTTGCTTGGATTCCAGGTAGGAAAAGGAAGAAGAAAGATTGATTTGATCCTATTCCATGACATTAAAAATGCTTTTATAGTATTTTTTATGTGATTTGGGTTGGTAAATTAAAGTTTATTAATAAATCATTAGTGATTGATATCATTTATGATTAAACCCTCTGATGTAGAATAACTGTGTAACTTCAAGTACAGTTATATATTCCTTAGCAAAAAAAAAAAAAAGACCAAAGCACATGGGAAACTTTGGAGAAACAATACTTGATCCTATTAATATTATAAAAAAAAAAAAAAAAAAAAGACCAAAGCACATGGGAAACTTTGGAGAAACAATACTTGATCCTATTAATATTATAACTTTATAGTTGTAAAAGCTTTATTATTATTATTATTATTTTGCTTGCTTGTGTGTGGAAAATTGGTCTCACAATTGAATAAGTATATGCATTCAATTCATCGGCTATAGAGATATAAATATTAGAATATGACTCATAAATGAAAATTTAATTTAATATGTAATAAATCCATTAGTTAATTTTTTAGCGTCTCCAACTTGCTTAGTTTTGAGTGAAAATCCTGTTAAGCATGTACCATCAACAAAGTATACTTTAATTTTCCTGTTTTTGTTTATTGTTATTGCACTATTTTTCTTGTTACAATATAAAATTTTGCTTTGAGCAATAAATAACTAAGCTTGTTTCTCCACCTTGCATGCTAATTAATAACAATGAAAAGGTGCAAAAATGGAGAAAAAATTAATTATTTATATGTTTCATTCATTTTTCGGGAAGTTTTTTATTTCTGAGGTAAATAAGACAATAACTGTTTTAACTATAAAAAACCATTTTTAAAAAGGATAATTTTGTTCCATCCAGTGTTGCTAACTTTCTCCCTAGGTGGGAAAGTTAATTAGTTATCCACTTGGGAAATAGGTATACCAAGGAAAATGAATTTTCTGTGAATCCCATATAAATTTGAAAAAAAAGAATATGTTTGTCTCGATCAATGAGAATCAAAATCCCATACTTCCTCCCTCTCAAAATCCAAAAAATGAATAGGTCCATAGAGTCAAGATATCATTCCCTCATGGGAAACAGGGATCTCGAAAGACATTGTTGCATTGGCGAGGTACATAAAGGCCCTGTTCGCTTTTCGTTAAATTACTTATCCAAGTAAATGCAATTACCTGAGTAAGTTTTTCCTAGAAAACACTTGCACGTGTAAGTGCATTTATCCATGTTCTTTTATTTCTCAGGTAAATAAGGTAATGATCATTTTAGTCATAAAAATCCATTATTAAAAGGGCCATTTTTGTTCCATTCAAGTATTAACAACTTTCTTCCTAGGTGGGAAAGTTATTTACCCACTTAGAGATGGGGTACCACTTACATGGGCAACTAATACCCAGAAAAATAAACTTTCCTTGGTCCTCACATTAATCTGAAAAAATGAATATGAGATTCTTGGTCAATGGAAACCAAAATCCGATTGACCAACTTTTCCACCTCTCAAAATCAAAAAAAAAAGAACGCCCCCAAAAGATTAGTGAACAAACATGCCATGAAATCTTGCAGAGTTGTATCAGTTTCTTAGAGATCCTGGATGAGTGTGAATGGATTGAAAAAAAGGAAGGAGTTTTTTTGATAATACCGGGAAGCATATTGTTCGCCAGACTGGCCTGATCATCACACCATTTGTGTTATCATGTTCAATCCTTTGGCTGCCACTCTGTGGACATCGATTAGCTGATAGTTCATGGTACGTACCGAAGGGGATCAGAAACTTAGATATTGAGGCTAGCTAGTATAAATGAAAGTCCTATGAGGCAATGTGAATTGAGTGGTGTCACCTTTTACTACCAGCATCATTGCATAAGGAAATATAGGAAGCATAGGACAGCAAATTTCATTTCATGGATAGGGAAAGATGCATGGGATGTAATAGATGATAGGTAGATGAGAGACAACCTTTCACTAAGACATCATCTTGTTGGCCATTAATATTGGCATTTCCATCAGACCTTAATTAGCTCACCCATGCTCCAGAAAGAACCATGAAACCCTAACTCTCTCTCTCTCTCTCTCTCTCTCTTACAATGGAGATATTGTTAATGGTGCCACATATAGTAAATGTATAGTACTGGATATATTGGTTGTTCTAGAGTTGTTACTGATGAAAAAAAAGTGGCTATTAGCTAGGCATACACTTCCAACCATATTTTTTAAATAGGTACATGTATGTTATGTGTTTTATACGTATATATATTTTTTTAGATTTTGATTAAAATTTTTTAAGTTAACCCTAAATTATTCAAATATGTAAAAATGATATATAAATGGTATAGGTTTTAAAAATATGGTTACTTTTAAATATATTTTAATCATTTGAAAAAGTTTAAAAATGCAAATTATATACAGGGATTAACCAACAACCTAATAACTTAAGCTTTTGAATTAAATATGATATCCCTACTCTTCTATATAACGGTATAAACCCCAATGTTAGCAATATCCATCATGCATATCCTCACAATATTTATATATCTTTTTTTTAACTAATCCTTTCGCCTTTTCCCTCTGTCCCGTCTAATTTGTTAACATATTTTTCAATATTCTTTAAAAAAATTTCAATACTCTTGAAATATGGTCCTTTATTATGGTTTTTAGTTTTTATCAACAGCCAATACAAGTGTAACGGTAATAACGAAATATGTCCTTGAAGTTGCGAAATTTGTCCATTCTTTTAGAGGGAGAGAAAGCGATGGCGTATAAACATCGAGAGTTGTATAGAGTAAAGGTAACAACGAAAAAGAAAATTTTGAAAACGTATACATATCGAGAGTGGTATAGAGTAACAGGAGCAACTTCTCTATATAAACTATGAAGCCTTTCATCAACTCCAACGCCAAACTCAAATCTTTTGCTCTTTTCTTTCTTTCTTCTCAAGCTTGAATTCTCTATAATATAATTAAGCTGAGCGCAATAGTTTTGTATAGAAATGGCTGCAACTGCATTGCAAATGCAGACGCAGTTCATGAATCTGAAATGCTGAACGGTTCTTTAGAAAGTGCTCCCGCCAAAGTTTGGTCTAGCAGTTGCAAACAAGTTCTGATTTGTTCTTCTAGAAGCTAGAGATCAAACCTCGATCTTGTGGTGAAGAGGAAACGTTTGCTGTTGAAGTCGTGGACCCGAAAAGTTGAAAGGCAGCAACATGGTCTTGTCTCTCAAGTCTACGACTTATTTTTCTTTGGCGAATTCAATCTGCTTAAAGCTTTTTCTTCGAGCACCATTTTCGTTTTCTTGAAGGTAGAGAGTCAGTTGGCCTACTTAAACGAAGCTCCAAGAAGAAACCCTGAAATTCATGGCTAAATGTTCCAACAGAGTGAATTGCATAGAGATTTTCGTCACGATCTTACTAACTTGATTTTCTAGTGATTGTTAATTAGATTCCCAATATTTTAAATTCGTTTGAGTCTTGGGAATCTTTAGTGAGGGGTTATCGAGAGAGAGAGAGAGAGAGAGGGGGGGGGGATGGACCACTTGCTGCTTTCTACAGTCGGACCACCCGTAAAATAGCGAGCTGGTTTGCGAAGGAAACAGGGGGGAAGAGGTTCTTACAAAGGCAGTTAAAGAGCTGAAGCTCAGAAACTTTAGAGGGTTATTGAGGATTAACCCTGGGAAGTTAGTAGGGGTGTTAGAGCTTTGATCAGCGAAAAGATGGATTCTCACTTGCAGCGAACTCTCAGAAATCTTTGTTTCAAGACAGAATGGAAATACGCCATCTTTTGGAAGCTTATACCTGGAGTTCGCACGTAAGTTTTCTTTTCTTTTCCTTTCCTTTCCTTTTTTTTTTTGTTTTTTGTTTTAATTTTCTCACTAAATAATCATGACCCCGTATAAGTGCGGGGTCAGTATTCTGATTTTTTTTTTATTTATGTATTTTGATAAATTTTGTTTAATAAATGTAGGTTATTAATTTATTTGATTTTTTATGTATAGATTTTTTTAACTTAAAAGATTAAGTCAATTTTTATTTCTAAATAATAACCCACTTTATATATACTATATCATTTGAAATGAGTTTTTTTTTGTGTTTTTTTTTCATTTTTAGTGGAATTAACTACCACTAAAGTAGAAAAAGGTAAGGAAACCTTTACATATCTTGTATAGATTTTCTTACCTTTCCCTACATTTTCCTTCAAACCAAACATAATTGTTTTGAGAGTGGAGGTACGTAAAGAAGAAGAAAGTTTTTGTTTGAGAATGAAAATAACCACTTTTCTTGAGGAAATAAGATGCCACTTATACAAGGGAAAAGCCAAATCCCCATTACAACCATACAAAGACCTTACAAAGTGAGTCAGTTGGCGCCTTCTTTACTTTACCCGTTTGCCAATGTCTTTGCATTATTGTCGGCCATAAAGACCTGAATGAAAATTACAAGACTAGGGTTAGGGTGGCTTTTGGGTGCATAAGAACAACAAACGTAGTGGGGTTTGTTCGTGATAATCACAATCTTGCAAGGCTGTGTTGTGTGTTGTGTTTCTTTGAGTAGTTTTTTTTTATTTCTTTCCTTGTTGCATCTGCTGAACTGCCTTGGGGTCTAGAAAGAAGTGTCAACTTGTTGGTTGAATAGAAATGGGTCCAACTGTCCTAGTCGACTCAGTTTGCAGGAGTAGTTCATTCAGCATGTGTGGTAATTAGACCTGTTCATGGGCCAAGCCGGGCTGGGCTTTTACTCATCATTAATGGAAATATGTTAGGCCCGAGCCCAAAGCCCGACCTAATAAAAAAAATTACAATTTTTCCTATTCAAATTAGAATTAAAAATTCAAATGGTTTTTTTTCCTATTTAAATGAACAATGGGCCTACAAGATGATTTTTTTCCTTTTCTTTTACGTTTTAAAACATAGTTTTACATTCTTAAATTAAAAAATTTATTCAAATGGACATATAATCACATAACCCATTTTAAGTCTAATTTTAGGTCGGGTCGGGCCGGGCTATTTTGACAAAACTCGAGCCCGGCTCGAATTTATTGCGGGCCGGGCTTTTTGGCCCGAGTTTAAGCCCACGGGCCTATAAACATATTCAAGCCCGTCTGGGGGCCGGGCCGGTCCATGAACAGGTCTAGTGGGAACTAAGTTTCACTTGGAGAATGTAAATAATCAGAAACCATTCCCAGTTTAACTCTTTAAGTATTTCAAGATTGGCCAAGGCAAATTTCTAAACATAATTAACCAATTGCTATGTTGAAAGGATAAACATCGCTTATTAGAAATTCAAATTGTCTGAGGATAAACATCACTAGTGCTAGTGCATTTTAACTATATCAAATTAGTTATCACATACTGGTCTGAAGTTAATTTGTTTCCTTCTTTAATTTGGTTTTCTGGGCATTTATCTTAATTTCAGGATGTTGATTTTGGAGGGTGCTTATTATGATCACAACGAGCTACCTGATCCTTCAGAGAATATGTGCTCTAGAGATACTCTTATGAGCATGAATGATGGATACCACCTGCAAGACCTGATTGAATTAGCCCTGGCAAAGATGTCACATCTTGTATATTCTCTAGGAGAAGGGTATGATATCTAGAACTCATGATATGAGTATCCTTGAAAGGTTTTATGATGGAAATCAACTGGTATAAAGTAAATCCAATTTATGAATTTTTATGCTCTTGCTTTTGTACTGTTGTATCACTCTCATTCTGTTTTTGGTTCTGTTATTCAAATCTATATCTATCAGAATAAATAGCATATTTGGTTGTTTTATATTCATTTATTTCTTTCTTGAGCAGGATTATAGGTCAAGTGGCACTTACTGGAAAGCATCACTGGATATTTTCAGATATTTATGCATCTAGTTCTTGGCTATCCTCTGAGGTGAGGGAGTTCCTTTCTGAGCATATAATAAAGGTTTCAGGTGTATTTTAATTTCCATCATAAACTGATGGTATTTATAGTTCTTTATACATTATTCTATCACTATTCTTATTTCTTCATTTTTGTATTCCCCAGTACTGTGATGGGTGGCAAATTCAATTTGCAGCTGGCATTAGGGTATGTTTTCTATCTCTTTTCTTTTAACATTTGACTCATATAATCATATTCTTATATGATAGTATAGATAAACAGACAGTTTGATCATCACAAGTTTCATTGAAACTTCAATTCACCACCACCAATGATGCCAGTACCTCACATTTTTTTTTTGTGATAACGGTAAGGTAATTTATCCAAAGAAGAGAAAAATAAAGCACACAAGTTGTATATATAGGAAGGGAGGCAAGACAGTACTGCCTCTAAAAGAGAACCAAAAAATAAACAGAACCAACTCCAGGCACAACAAAGGTGGAGCTGCAGAACAGACCACGCACAACACTAAACAAAGCCAAACCCCACAAAAGGACTAGACCCAATCCAAGCCAAACCGGGCCTAGGCCCAACTAAAACGAAGCTCCCAAAAACTACAGAAAAGCTAGACAGAAGACAAGAAACAGCACATCTTCCAGACGAAATTAGCCTAGTACCTCACAATTCCTACATGTTAGTTGATTAGATATACGTGTGTAGTTTGGATTAGCATGCCAATAGTAACCCTTTTCATCATGGAAGAAAGAGCTAAAATTAGATTATGGAAATCCAGACCCATCAATGGGGGTTGAATATAACATATCTCATGTTACTAACAACAACTTGAACCATCTAATGAATTTGGTTCTTCTGAGTGGTAACAAAATATAAATGGATGAGGATCCAAAATAAATATGGCAAAATGCATTAATTCTCAGGAGGATGGAACTATTCATACTGCACGATTTTTCTAGGCATGGAGGTGGTATTGGTGTTACAATTGGGTATTTATGTCCACATATGTAGGACTCAAATCATTAATGTTTTGGCTGTCAATATGAAATGGCTGAATTCAATGGTTAGAAATTCCCCATATTTTTTTTTTAACTTGGGGGAATGGCTGATCCAGGGGGTGTCCAACAATTGATACTAAAGATTGGTTTCTGCAAGATTGATGCAGAACCTAGGCATCTCCTTGTGTGTTTAGGATTCGGTGAGTTAAATATCACCCATGCACTGTATGCAGTATTCTTTATTCTACATCTCTGTAAGTCGCATTATTTCAATAAATTCTTCTTAAATTTGTTTTGTTGGTAAATAAAAGGGATTTCCTTCCTGTTGTGCAGACCATTGCTGCTGTAGCTGTTGTTCCACATGGAGTGATACAACTTGGATCTTTAAATATAGTAAGAAAATTGTTAAGTTTTACTTGCATTAGTATTTCTGAGTATGTCATTGATTATAAACCAGTATTTAAAAGGCAATGGCATGAGTTAAGGTGCTAGAACCACATAGGTGCATCAGGTGTAAAGATGCGAGCTTAAGTCTCTTAAGCCGGCATTGTTTTAGAAGAAAACATAGAGTGCATATAAAATTAGAGATGTAAAAAGTACTATATATTTATATGAGAAATTGTATATAAAACATATATGCACCAACTTATATCACCACTTCACAAGTGATACTTCAGTTCTTTCTAAATCCTTTTTTTCCATCTCATGAATTTGTTTTACATGCAAATTATAAACTCATGTATTTTTCTCAAACCTACTATTGCATTCTCATTGCTCCTTTACTTGTGTGAGGATCAGGTCAATGAGGACTTGAAGTTAGTAAACCATATCAAGGATGTATTTTCTTCACTTCAAAATTTCTCTATGGAATTTGTGTCCAATCAAATGCAAAATATAAAGATGATCACCTTATGTCCAGTAAGTTTCCTCTGTTTTATTTTGAAAATTTTGTTCTTGTATATATAAGCATCTGATATGAATGTCTTTCCAGTCAGAGGTATCAGCAAAAAGTTCAGATTTAGGTATCGTAAATCAGTGGCTAGACAGAGTAGATAAAGACAAGAGCAACAGAAGCCCAGATTTTCAGTCTAACCATTTGCCATCTATTGGAAGGCATAATAACTTCCATCATGTTGTTGTTCCACTGCCTGATCTTAATGGGAACAAGGAAGTTAACACAGTTGAACACATAGAGGTTGAATCTCCCACATTGAGCAGTGATGAGAGAGCTCAGTTTCTTTATGCAAGGTCTAGAATCTTTAGTTTGGAGAACCAAAAAGAGATACATATGCAACTGCTCGAGTGCAAAAAGTGCAGAGAGGGAACTAATTGCTGGAAGGATTTTGTTTGCCAAATAGAAAAAGATGCACCAGAGTTGCAGAATTTACTCAAAGAGAATGCAATAATAAATACTATGAATCCCTTAACCAAGTATGGAGAAGATTGCCCCTTCTTGCATCCAAATCTCTTTAACCCTGCATCATCATATACAGAAATGTGCATCGGAGTCTATCTTCAGAATGAGGGGCTTCACTTTCCTGGACCATCAGAAGGCTTGGAGCAGAACACGGACTTCAGAGCTGAGATCAATTGCATGGACACTGACAACAATTCACTTAGGCTCTCTACTGTCTGTGAGCTGGATGAAGCCCTTGGACCGGCTTTTAGGAGAGAGCAATGGTGTTCTCCTCGGAATGAGGTTGAGGGGGAAGAAACTGGAATACCCGTTCAGTTCCAGGAGGGTATGGGCAATAGCCAGTTTATACTAGAGAATGGATCAGAGAATCTTCTAGAAGCAGTTGTAGCAAATGCTTGGCAAGGTACTGACATTGTTAAGATTGAGTTCTGTAAGTCAGAAGATTCACTAGGACCAACAGAAAAAATAACAGAGTTGTGTTCCCATATTGAGAATACTCATAATTCAGGTGGACTAGCTGAATCCTCTCACGAGAAGGATTCACTTTGCAGCTTGGCATGTACACGGAATTCAACAGAATCAACTGTTGTAACGACTCAAAGGGAATTATCATTAACAAAATTCAGTAAATGCAGCCAGAAAATGGAGAGGAGTGTAGAACAACCAAAAGTCAATAAAAATAAGGCTATACATGGTCAAATTTGTAGGCCTAGGCCAAGGGACAGACAACTGATCCAGGATCGTGTTAAGGAGCTGAGAGAGCTTGTGCCTAATGGGCCCAAGGTAAGTATTCCATGGCTAGTATCAAATTGAGTTTTTGATAAATGAGGCTTGCAAATGATTCTCATTCTCATGAAACTGAAAAACAAGAAATGGTTGCACAGTGCAGTATTGATACACTGCTGGAGCGTACAATCAAGCACATTCTCTTTCTTCAGAGTGTCACTAAACATGCTGACAAGCTAAGGAAATGTGCTCAGTCAAAGGTAAGCATTTCTATTTACTCCATTCCCCTCTGGTTCAGTTGTTGAACTGAATATGGCTATTGTTTGGTGTTTGAGGAACCTGTTAATAGAAATAGTTAACATCACTTGGGAAAAGAAAAACATAATTGGAAATAAATTTTCTCTATTGGTGTGGTAAATTATAATCGTGGCCATTTATCTCTTTGTGTTTGCCTGGATTGGGTCCATTCTTGATTTTTAGTTTTCCAAACCTAATTATTTGACATCCTGAGTATGTTCCACAAAACTTTTGATTACTGCTATTTCTAGGTACTCAAAATAGGGGCAATTACTAATTGTGTAGTTTCCAATCATCAACAAAAAATGACAATTCAGGATTCATGTTCATTTAGAGTTTGGAAAAAGGTTTAATTCCAGCTTCCAACCTGACACAACCCTCCTTTGTCTAGGCTTGTGACCAATGGTGTAAGACAAGTTCACACTGGTACAATAAATTACACAGTTTCCAATATTGCATGGCTTATATTATTGAATCTCTAATCTTATAATCTAAGACATCATCTATTAGCTCATAATTCACATTCATTGTAGCTTGCACTAGGAAAAGAAACTTTTAATTTTATTTGTAATTGTCTGCAATGGAACTAACATCTTATTTCTCAATCTGTAGTTGCAGTGCAAGAGAATGGATCTACTAGGATCCTATAATCATGAGTACAATTCAAGTTGCAATCTAGAAGTAGGAATCCAGATAAAAACTTGTCCAATAATAGTGGAGAATCTTAACATGAATGGACAAATGCTTATTGAGGTTTGTACTTGTCAAATATAAATAAATTTCCCAGTATTTTCCATTTTTTTCTCTAATACAAAGTATTCTGGACAAACTCTGTAGATTTTGTGTGAGGAAAACAACCATTTTCTTGAGATAGCTGCGGCTATTAGAAGCTTGGGTCTAACAATATTGAAAGGTTTAATGGAAGCTCATGATGAAAAGACGAGTGCATGCTTTGTTGTTGAGGTATAATTCTGATTGCATATCAACTCCTAGATTTCTCAGAGCTTGAGGAAATCTCTCTCTAAGGGGTTCATTGGAAACCACATGGAGTGAAATGATTTATTTTCTTTTTCAAGCATTTGAGTTCATAGGTTAGTTATAAAGAAATATAAGAATACTATTAAAAATAGAAACTAAATCATTTGAAGATTTCAAGAAATAAAATCATTGTACAACATTCCGGAAATGCCCATCTTCCTTTTTCTTTTTTTCCTTTTATTTTTGGTATCTATAATAGAGGCCATTTCTTGGTGAAATGGTAAAATCTTGGACCTGAGAAGAATGGCAACATGGGTTTGAGTTTGTGAGTTGCCAATTCATGAAAACAATGGCAAAGGCTAGGTCCAAATCCAATCCACCACTCCCAAGATCCCAGACAGCCAGGGCCAGTATTGGTTAATGGTCGTTTATTTTTGTCAGATATATCTCCATTTTGGATGACGAAAACATTAGTTCAAATGTTATTATAATAAAAATGAATTGATTTTCATTACATATAAAAGAATGGTGAAACAGGATTTATGTATCCAACTCCATATAAGACTTAGATGATGATGGTTTTCTTTACATAAAAACCTGCTAGTATTTTCTTTACCCTGCCTAGAGCTGATTTGTTTATTCAGATTACAGAAAACATGATGGGTCAGGCAATAATAACCAGTGCATAGGTAGAATTTATCCTCACACTAAGCCCTAAGTGTATGAACAAAAGAGAAACAAAAGGGTCATCATCTATTAACAACCATCCAAGAGAGGCAGGTGACACCATAGTGAGGGACACTAGTAGGACACCTCTTCCCTTCTCTACTGTGGATGTATGTTTTTGGAATGAAACTTCCCCCATAAGTAGAGGGTGGCAAGAGGAATAGGGGGACACCCTCTGGACTTCTCGTATCTTTCCACATTGAAGATTCCTGTGCTGTTTGGAGACATATTGGGGTACTACACACACATAGACATATTTGTGTATGGGGATCATTGTTTAGTTTGATGGTAACCTCGAAAAAACAAGTATTAGAACATGGCTTGAGTACAAAGCAGTTAATTTGTGCAAAAAAAAGACAGGTTAGATCTGTATGCAGTCCATCACTCCCAAGATCTGTATTCTATTCTCCATCAAACAAGTTCAGTGAAGGATTAGCATATTCACCCAGATGGTAAACATCAGTGAATGTGATAATCCTTCACTGGATTTGTTTATCCAACCCAATTAATAGGATACATAATTAGAGGGTATTGTAGTAACTTAACATTTAAGTTGGTTATCTTCACCAAGGTACAAATTAGTTACAAATCATCCTATTTTTACATGCACGTTTTCCCTCTGTAAATTGTATATTACTATCTAACTAGGAAAAGATAAAGGGCAATAGATTAGACTGTTAATTTGGACAAGAATATTCTCCTATGAAGTAGTGAAAGTCACCGGGTTGATAAAACACAATAAACATGCATACTTCATACTTTAACCTGTTCGGATTAGGTTCAATCTCATCAGGATCAGGGTGGCTTTAACCTGTTTCCATCCCCAAAATCAATTGGTTGGCATTATACACAAAAGACAAATTGGGCAATCCTATTGTTGCATGCATGGATTTTTCCTAAATATCATCAATGATTAGTTTATCCATTCAAGTTTTAGATCTTAATCAGATGGTTAAATCATCTGTTCTATATAATGTTTAAGCCATCTCTTAGCTACAGATGGGTCACCAATCGAATGGTGAGCTTCTTGCCTAGTGCCTGTAATTTTCTATTATTTTATTTTACAGATCTTGAGTTTCAGAACCATTGCAGGGACAGAGTAATAGAGGAATGCATAGGATGGATATCTTGTGGTCACTCATGCAGTTGTTGCAACTGAAAACAATCATTTGATGCTACAGAGTTAGCCAACCTGAGGTGATGGTGGAAGTGGAGTTTGTAACTACTGTGAGGCAACCTTGTTGGCGCACAACTACTGAAGAACAAGATGGAATGGTGGAACAGGATTCATGTAGCCAACACGATATAGTTGGAACATGACTTAGATAATGATCATAATGATGATAATAACCCTTACTGGTGCACAATTCACATTTCTAGAAAATTAGCATGTTTGATGATGTACCCAGGTGAGCTAGCTTTGATGGAGTGAAAAGTATATCATTTTTGTAGGGCAATCAATGTAGTGCCTAGATATAGATCTTGAATTTGATAAGCATTTTAGGGGAATTGTAGCAAAATCATGCGTAGGATGGATATCTTATGATCTCTTATGTTGTTGCAACCATCCAATGCTCATTTAGGAAATAATCTGAGGTGATGGAGGTTGAAGTTCAGTTGTATATACTGCAAGGCACCTTAATAGGTGCACAATTGACATTTCCATAGCATTTATCTTGTTTCTGTATATGCTTCACTTTACTTTTAATTTCCTTTAAGTTTTAAGAACATAGTTTCTTTTGTTCCGTTAATTTTGTGAAAAATAGCAGCTATAGTCCAGTCTTTTCTGTCACGACGACTATGATACCCACCCTCTTTTTGAAGCTCAAACATAAAATTGGAGGGGACAAGCAGGGTGCACGTTAGGTCCACTTATAATATTAACATCACATTCCAGTTATGTGGGTTTGCTCCCACACCTCCCTTTTTCAGTGGAGTGACAAGTGACCATCTCAGTTACTAGGTCATCACCATACTAATTTCCTTCCTACGCACTATAACCAGTTCCAGGTTTTCTCTGCATTAGTTCAAAGACAGGGTGAATCAAGAATATAAAATAAATGTAACTACTTGCTATATTAGTATTATTTACCAAAAGCAGATGAGTTGAGTTCGTGAACAAGTTAGTTACTCGTGTATTTCCAATACCAAATTAATGAATATGACCAATGAACTTCTTGAATTTAGAAAATCCACATTCTAAATTTATTATTATCCAGGGAGTAAATGCTGAATTAAATGTAATTAATTGGGTTCAGTAATCAACTTATGAATTATTAACTCTGAATGAAGAAGATCAAATCCAACTGTAAGTTTGGAAACTATGATCTGTTATGGAAAAGAAAATTACCTCTTGTTTTTTACTGCTTTAGAGCCAAACAAGTTTTCTCCCTCTCAAATCTCTTCTTCTTCTTCTTCTTTGACATTTTTCTCTACTGCAAACTGAGCAACACTTTTCATCTAAAAAACAGTGCTGATGGAGGATGATTTGACCCGACCTATGAAATCATGACACGTGGACCTGACTCAGCACGGGCAACAACTCAACATCATAGCCTGATCACGACTAAGTAACGAGCCTATAGAGCAACTCGTTATATCATAGTTCGCTGTAGGAGGAGCTCGCTACAACACGAGCTCCGGGTCCCCCGAGCTACCCAGAAGGGGATACTCCAAGATTGCTTCAGCTCGCGAGCTAGGGAAACCAGCTCGCTCCAGCCCCTAAACGGATAAGTCACCCCAGAGACCAACCTTAGTAAGGGTAAGCCCGAAGTATTCCTAAGCTCGCTACAAAGTAGCTCGCGAATGAGCAGCATGGATGTTTCTCAGGAAGCTTCTACCTAACAAACCGTACCGATCAGACTGCGCCACGTCTCTTGACTGACGGCGCAGTCCCTGTCCTTTCGACAGTCTGCACCCACGTCTCTCAGCAGGCGGAGGCGTTCCTGCCCCTTTAAGACGTGTCACTCATTCGAGCAAGAGGTACGTTGCAACGATCACCTGCACAGCCTTGGCAGGTAATGGCTGCGGCAAGGGCCCAGTGGTGGTTACGCCAGATTTGACAAGAACGCCCCTATAAAAGCCCTTGAGGCAAAGGAGAAAAGGGATCTTCAGACTTTTGAATACTTTCGCACTCTCATCTTCTCAACCTGAGTCTTTACTTGCTCGCGAGCTAATCTCTCGAGCACAGTGATAAAGCGCGACCTACACTCTTAGCTTTCACACTCTTTTTTCTCCTTCCCCAACGTTCTGACTTAAGCTTCGGAGTATTCCCACTGGGTAAATCCCCGGGAATCCTTCTTTTCCATCTTCTTAGGTGTCGTCTGTTGCCAACAAGGAGCCAGTCAACAGCCAACTAGGAGTGCCCGGATTGTAACGCATCATTTGGCACCGTCTGTGGGAAACGCTTCTAAAAGCCTTCCTCCGAGCTTTCACAAGTTCCTTCTTCCAAAAGAAAAACTTAGCATTCTTCATGGCTTCTTCCAGTAAAGCCGGACGTGGCGCTAGCCAGAACGCTTCCGGGGAACAGCCCCAACTTCCTACTGTCTGCATCGGACATTTTACCGTCCCCTCTCAGCGGACGGAGTTCCTAGTTTGAACATGCTTCTTACAATGACACCCGTCGTTGCTCCACTCCCTACTACACCAGGAGCAACCTTCGCCGAACCCTCGGTTGCGCCCCTAGCAGCCAACCCAAACCAACTGGAGGACTTGGTGCAATGCATGTGGGCCATGCAGGCTCAAATGCAACAGTTTCAACAGTTTCAACTTTACCAGCAACAAGTGCTGCACCAGGTCTCCTAGTACCAATACCAGCAGCAGTTTCCTTCGCTACCTCAGGCCCAGCCGCCGCTTCCTCCCTAGCACCCAGCCGCAAAGCAAACCAAGCTGTCCCGCCGAGGTGAGCGACCTCGCCGGGGAGAGGTGTCCCAGGTCCAGGATCCTACTAGGAGCCAAGCCTCTTCCCGCAGCAGGAAGGAGAGCCCGACAACCCCCGCCTCCCAGTCTATGGGCAGGACGGGGGCCTCCCAGCCAACTAAGCCCGCGTCGCCACAACCATCACAGTTCGAACTCCCGCTCACAGAGAACCTGTTCGAGGTCTTGGCCACAGACTTCAGACAGGGCCCTTCAGTCCAAAGTCGTCACCAGCAGTCTAAGCCTATCGAGCTTGATGACACTGAAGCGTCAAGCGCCAACGCTAAACCGGCAAAGCAGCAGCGAAGATGCCGGCGAGCCCGCCGCACCGCGTCCAGAGCCGCTCCCGAGCTCAGAGGGAAAGAGGAGGTATGCTCCGGTGAAGTAAAAGCTACCCCCCTCCTCTCAGTTTCTTCCCCGCTATCTCCCGAACTCCTTGCTGTCCCCATGCCAAGGGACTTCAAGCTCCCTCCTCTGGATAAGTATGATGGGTCTTTTGATCCAAACGACCATGTGGACGCCTTCCAGTCCCAGATGCACCTGGCAAGAGCTAGCGAGTCCTGTGTGCGTGGCCTTCTCCACCACCTTCAAGGGAGTCGCCCGCACCTGGTACCGAAACCTCGTGCCCAACATGGTAAGAAGTTGGGCGTAGTTCGTGCAAGTTTTCGCCTCTCACTTCATCACCAGCAAGAGGTGCCCGGGAACCCAAGAGAGCCTCCTCAGCATAGTGCAGAAGGAAGGGGAGTCCATCCGGAGCTACATCAAGCGGTTCAATGACGCTTGTTTGCAGATACCCGACCTGGCAACCTCAATTACATGTTCCTATTAGTACTGTTAAGTTGGATAATTGTTTCAAAATAATACATATAGACATCTAGGGTGGTTATCAAACCCCTTCTTTGTCAGGTAATGGTGCATTCTTTGTTCCTAGACTATCACTTGAACAGTATCATCAACTCATCACCGTCCTAAGTATGAGTAAGCAATCAACCCCTGCCTCCAATTTTGTTGGTAAGTCTTTAGATCCATGCTCAATCTTAAATACTAAGTATTGGCTACTTGATAGCGGTGCCTCAAATCACATGGCTCCTAGTACAAACATATCTAATTAAAGCCAATTCAGAGTGATTAGAAGGGCATTTCATCTACTTGATGGTACCAAATTAATCATCGAGTCACATGGCTCCGTGAACTTAGCAGTTAGCACCTGAGATTCAATTAAAAGATGTTTTACTCATTCCTAGCTTCAAGTGCAAACTATTATCCATTAACAAGATCACTTATCAACTGAATTGTGTGACAATATTTTTTCCCACCTTTTGTGTATTACAAGTTTTAATCTCCAAGAGAGTGATTGGGCTCGACAAGGTGTGTGATGGTCTTTATCATTTTGTGTTAACCACACAATCCTTATACTCCCTAGGTTCCAATACTGATGCTTGTTCCAGTCTCTGGCACTCCAGGTTGGGGCATGTGTCTTGTGAGTGGCTGAACTTAATTCTTGAGATATAAGTTTCTACACAAAATAATAAGAAATGATGTGACACTTGCTTAAAGGCTAAACAACATCAATTACATTTTCCTATTAATACTATTAAGTTTGATAATTGTTTCGAAATAATACATGTAGACTTCTAGGGTGGTTATTAGACCCCTTCTTTGTCAAGTACTAGATATTTTCTCATAATTGTAGATGACCATTCTCATGCTACTTGGGTTTATTCGATGAACAGTAAATCTGATGCATACATATATCTAATTGTGTTTTGCAATCTTCTTTCAACTTAGTTCCAATCTCATGTGAAATGCATATGGAAAAACAATGGACAAGAATTCCATTCAGGGCCTATTCAATGCTATTTTAATGAACATGGAATTCTCCATCAATGTTCCTATGTAGACACTCCCCAACAAAACGGAGTGGCGGAATGAAAACATCGGCACCTCCTTGAAATTTCTTGAGCACTAAAATTTTAAGCTGGTCTCCCCATATGGTTATGGGGAGAGTGTGTTCTCACTGCCGCATACATCATCAATTACCTTCCTATTTCGATTTTAATAGGTAAAACATCATATGAGGTATTATATCACCAGGCACCCACCTATGATCACCTCAGTTTAGTTGCCTCTGTTATGCCAACACACTGCAACAAGGAAGAGTTAAATTTGCTTCACGATCTAAAAAATGGGTGTTTCTTGGTTATATCCCCATGGACAAAAGGGTTATCGCGTATGTAGCTAGGAGGAAAATAGACTTTTTGTTTCTCAAGACATCCATTTCTTTGAGGATAAGTTTCCATATTAGAATTCCATCACTAATGGCATTCAACTTTCTAGCCTAGTCATACCATTACTAACTCTTGATTCCTATTCTAGCTTTTAGTTGAACCAAACAACAACAATCGAAATCGGATTTCGATTCTTGAATGAACCAAACAGGTGTTGGGAATAGGTGATTCCGATTCCGGTCCTGTCTGTGAACCAAATGGACCCTTAGAATATAAAGTTGTCTTCTATATATCTTGAATTTATCATATAGAAGATGGGGCATATGAGAGTTATAGTTGGATTCTGGATGCAGATGCCAGGCATGTGTTTTCTTGTCAAATAAAGCTGCAACAATGGTATAGTTGAACCGTGATTTTTCAAAATGTTTATAAACTTTGGGAGCTATAGAAATCTGCATTATTTGAATCTGTATATTTTGCACATCAAATGTAGAAATCTGTGACCAGTCGTAGATCCTCTCTATTCTGATATTCTCGTTGCTAATCTAATTAATGAAATTCAGAAAAAAGGTTAAAGTGAGTTCCTGTATTGATTGTCTCAGGTATGCAATTCTCCATCCGTAGTCGGCCAGTGCTCAGACATGGGTTCTCCATCATAATCCATCAGTAGTCAGGCATGTTGTTCGGTGGAGAAAAGGCTTGAGCAAGAAGAAGAAGAAATTGTATTAGAGAAACCGTTTTGTCTTTTGATAGGCATAGAAACCCTTATCTGATCCCTATTCTTTATTTCATTTAAAATTGAATGTAATTTTAGATGTAGGAAAGTTTTAAATGTGTATTCACATATGAAAAGTGTGCATGTGATGTCAATGCTGACATGGCGCTCTGCAATTGAGGATGCAAGACGCCATGTGCAGGAGATCCAGGCTCCGTGTTAAAATCATAACTGAATGTGACAGCTGTAGTTTGTTAGGCAGCTGTTAAACTGTTAAAGTACTTATATATATTAATCACCCTCGAATCAAATGACACACACAATTTTTCTTGCCAAAGATTACTGAAAATGAAAACATTAGACTGAAATAATACATGAGACGATGTGCTTCAACTTTATTCAATAATTATCATCAAACAGCAAGCAGATCTAGAGACGAAGAGATGGTAAAAACGACCAAATTACAAACGTCTCATCTCACAACTTAAAATAATCTAACACAGGGCTGCTGCCATCAAATCCGCCTTTTGAAAAGAAGTATGAATTAAATTCCGGGATCGTAGTTTCCCTGTAAATGGGGGGATTCTCCTCAGATAGCAGCTCCTTGATTGGACCATACTTCTTGATGGATTCCTGAATGGTTGTAGGGAAAAAGCATGCCACCGACACTCTGGGGCCTATGTTCTTTGCAACTACTCTATGTTCCACGCTTTTAAATCTATCATTTGAAATAATCTGCTGCATGCATCCAAACAAAATTTGATTTTCTTGTGTACTTGTCAATGCATGCACCAATATCTAAACCCAAAATAATATATTACATGATGCACATCATGCAGTCCTACCCTTTAATTACTTATAAGCATCCTTAGATCGTAACTTAGAAGCTAATAGGGCTGTTTAACAGTACGTATGTACGCACCCATGTGTTGCAGCAGGAGGGTACGCTGTATTTTTTGCTTCTTTTGTAGATTTGGACTTTAAAGTAAAAGAAGAAAGATTATTACTAAACTGTTGTGATAAACTAGTGCCACGTCTGACGGAATGGACCAGGTTTAAAGTCAACCAAGGTCGTTAAAACTGGTTTCAAAGTCGAACCTGGTCTGTTTAATCCAGATCAATTCAGACAAAAATTTAATGTTCATATGTATGTATGCATATATGACATAGGTATACCTTAAAACTCGAATCATATAAAATTGTGGGCTATATCTGTTCAAGCTTGGATTGAGCCCACCCATGAATGAGGAATGAGGAAATATAATCAATCCTACAGAAAAATTAAGACAACCTGGAAGTCGAAAACTTGCCTGCAAAACACATCCAATGTTGACAACGAGGGCCCCACGCAGAGGGGTCACATCAAGCCAATGGTTTTGATGAAGGACTTGGAGGCCACCAATCAGGTCTTGTAGAAGGATGGTGATAAAATCGTTGTCGGCATGCTTGCTTGTTCCCAGTGTCAGTTCAGGCTGTGGGCAGGCGGGGTAGTAATGACATGCAATGGCATGACTCTCGGCACACCCTATGTCTACCAGGTGGCTTGGTTTAAGCATCAAAGCCTCCGATAGTAAAGCCAACAATGTAACTGCCAATCTTTCAACCTGCCCCGAGTACTTGATCATTATATCTCTACAATGTAAGCACCAAAAATACTGTGTATTAATTCTCATGGATTAGGATTAGGATTACTCACAGCTAAAGCATCCAAATAAAGTAGCATTGAGAAGAAGTGCATGTAGCTAGCCCAACGCATTCCAAATATAACATCCACATATATTAACTAGTGGCTCAGGTTGGGTTGGACCATGGGTGTAATCGAGTTGACTCAAGCCGAGCAGCAGGTTATATTCAAGTTTTAGCTTTACTCAAAAACATAGAGCTCGAAACTCGATTCAAGTTTGACTGAGTTTCATGTATTTGCTTCAAACTCGACTTGAGTTGATACTTGAGACAATTATAAATAATTAGTACTAAAATTTATTAAAAATAAAAATATATTATGAAAATTAATTACAAATATATTTATTTATGTTATAAATAAGTTAATGCCAAAAATTAATGTTTATTTATATTATAAATATAAATATATTAAAAAAAATAATATTTCAGGCTTGTGATCCACTCGAGTTGGGCATTGCGAAGCTCAAACTGGGCTCGACCAATTATTCAACTCAAACTCAATTACTGCAAGCCGAGCCCGATCGTAGCTCCCAAATAGCTAGGCATGGCTCCACTTACACCCCTAGGTTGGGATCGGGTTTGCTCCACTCTTGTGATACTTGATGCCTCAACTCAACCCTAACCCCAACTTAATTAGAGGAATTCACATCAGCTCTCTATAAGGGGGCATCTCACAGTACATTTCATTCATATATTGAGAATATCTCATTTTTCATTTTGTTATTGGGAGATGTTCTCAATACATACACAGTTGGGAGGTGCTGTAAGACATTGTACATTGTGGGGCACTGATATAAACTCAACTTATTCTTAGAGGTATAAAGTGAACCGTATTGATGCGGTTCTACACGTACGTACCGGCACACTTGAGGAATTTCTTCGGGGCTGGGAGGATTAGGAGACATAAGACAATGGAAGGTGTCTCTCCAATTAACTGCTGCTGACTGATACAAGACGAAGTTGCTATTGTAAACCACCTTTTTGTTGGTGTCGCGACTGTAAAATCTCTTCCTTACTTCAACGTCTTGCTCGTTGAATCTGCGAACCCCTTGAAGCATCTCATCCAAAACACTGGTAGGGATTCCATGATTCACCACCTGAAAGAAGCCCCATGTCTCCGATGCATGTCGGACTTGGTCGACGACGTCTTTCCGTCGAACAGCATCTTCGTGGATGCCGTTCAGGTCTATGACCGGAACCGTAGAACGTTTCTCATCACTTGAAATAACCAGCTTCTCATCGGATTTAAGTGATGGGTCGATGAATATACGAGGGACCTTCACAATCCCAGAGTCTACGAGTCCTTTAACACCAGCTTTCGTGTCATCGAATTCCTTAAGTTCTTTCATTCGGTCATAATCCGATGCAGACTTGGTAGAAACTTCTTCAGCGCCTGAGACCACCATTTTCGTAGGCTTGTAGTTGTAGGAAGGAGAGGAAGATGATGGATGTGGATACAGCAGGAGTAAAGTATAGATTAGTGTGAGTTGGATTTCCTGCACTTGGGTGGATGTTGTATTGCATTTATAACAACATTTACCCACAACACAAAGAATCAACCCAACCCAACTCAACCCACCCATTTGCTGCCACCCCTACTTCCAATCAAATTGGGACTTGCATGGCACCACGGATCACACACTTCACGCCTATAAGCCATTTAAAAGGTCAGTTTGTCTTGTTATTTTGTTTTTAATTTCTTTTTGAACACCCAGTTCGAGAGAAAACCAGAGTCCTCAAGAAAAAGATTTTCTAAATTCTTCATCTGATGTTAATGGTGATACTTAATTTCAATTTTAAAAATACCGTTTTCTTCTTTTCAGTTTTTCCACTATCAATGTTCTCGGAACATGTTAGTAGTTAAATTGATTTTAATTTTTTGTACTATTATAAGACCAAAATATAAAATGCAGCCACACATTTTTCATAAGTTGTTCTCTTTGAAATAAACAATAGCAGTTAAATTAATTTTAATTACTTGTACTATTATAAGATCAAATACAAAAGAGAAATTAAAAGACAAGCACACATTTTTTCATGGTATTCAACTATTATAGAAGCATTAGCCACGTTGTTGGATGCATGTAGCATTGGGTTCAAACTATTTGTACTTTTATAAGACCAAAATACAAAGGAAAACCACACATTTTTCATGATATTCAACACTTCAACTATTACAGATGCCACGTTGTTGAGATGCATGTAACATTGGGTTCAAATTACTTGTACTATTATAAGACCAAAATGCAAAAAATCAATCACACATGTTTCATCATATTCAACTATTACCCAAGCCACGTAGCACTGGGTTCAGCTATATTTTCTTTTATGCTAAATTTATCTCATTCTTCCACCAATTAGGAATGCACAATATATTTAATATTGTTTTTAAGAATATCTTTGCAATATTTATATTTTACCCTATTTATGCACGTAACCCAACTAATAATATATAAAAAGAGTTTTTGGCTTAATGTTTTTGTCCTTAATCAACTCTCACCTTCATGATCCACATCCACCTGCCAAAATAGTTTGCCAGCGTTTAGACTCTCTCTCTCTCTAACAACTCAACTAAAGATTTCATCGTCCCTAAGATTCAACACTTTATTTCTCCATCGCCTTTTTCAATAAGTTGCTTTCAATTGTTGGAGTGAGTACTGTTGCAACATGTCCCAAAAAAAGCAACTTTTCAGGTACTGAGGAACTGTACAATTTCTTCACTGAAAAATCGAGCTCAAATCCTTCAGTAGTGCTGTCTTGACCAATGGAACTAAACTGAATTCAGATCAGGAAACAAGAAAAAAAAATGAAAAATCAAGATTTGCAATAGAGACAGCTGTAATATATTTTTTAAAATGGTACTGTATAAATCATTTTAATAAATATCCATGTTTATCCAAACAAAAGTTATAATATCTCTGTTAGTAATCAAAGAACAGTGAGCATCCCTAGACCACGGCTCCCTAGGTGTGTCACCTCTGGTCAATCAATCACTCAAATCCCAATGGGCTCTCTCTAGCCTAGGTGTCACCTGAAAAACCAGCCCTCGATTATCTATATATATATATAAATAAACTGACAGATTGCATTAACGGCTAGGACAAGAACGCAAAAAGGAAAAGCCACTACTATCCTCCCTTAATATATCCATAACTTGCTCAGGAATAGACCTCGGCCGGGCCGGGTTCGTATCGGCTTTTTCTTTTTATAAACAGAAAATTATTAGACCCGAATCCGAGCCCAGCCCGACCATCCGCTTAAATCTTGAGCCCCAGCCCAACCCTAATTAAAGGACAAAGCCCCATTTTGATATGCATTTTATAACATATTAATTATATATTATTAATAATATATTATATATTATATAATATTTTATATATTTAATACATATAATACTCTTTTTGCTATTAATTTTATTATTATATAATACATATTATGTATTATTAACATATATATTATATTTACTATATATGTTTAATATTGTTAGGTCGGGCTTATTTGAGAAAACCCAAATCCAGCCATAAAATAGTCAGATCCGTTTTTTAGAGCCCAAACCCACGGGCTTAAAATTTTATCCAAGCCCTATTTAAGATGGGTTAAGCCAGGTAACCCATTGGGTTACCTGGCCTATGAACAGGTCTACTCAGGAGGATTATAAAAAAAACTACACTTACAACCATGATTCACAGCTTCATTAGCTGCCTTGTACACATTTATTAGCTTCTCTATAACAGTGATAAATAGTTATGGAAGAGAACCAGTCCATAAGTATTAGAGTACTATTGATTATTGAAGAGCCCTTTATTTGCCATTTAACAAACCTCCAACTCTTAATGTTCATAAGAGTGGATAATGAGTCAGATTCAAACATGAGATTGTTAAATCCCCTTCACTTAGCTTTTCGAAGACCTTCATATATGGCCCACATTTCAGTCGCATCATTAGTTGTGCAACCAATAAGGATCGAATATCCTCCCTTCCACTCGCTTGTAGGCAAGGTTCAAAATTTCATCACGTATCGGCTGATACGTATCGTATCTTAGGGTTTTCGGCATGGGAACGGTCCCAAATCAATGGTATTGTTCCTTTTCATCGTATCAGTACTGTATCAGTGAGTTTTGATCATGTATTGGCCGATACACTAATGATATGGTAGTGTATCGGCCGATACACGATGACTTTACTATTGTGAAAATTGCAAATATAAATGGTTTCGAAAGTGGGCTTTTAAACCCATTTCAAAAGCCCTCTTTCTTCCCCAAACCCTCCCGAAAGCTTCTCAACCTTCAGAGAAACTCAAATCTTGCAAAAATCTACCAAAATATTTATAAACTTGCAAGATTCAACAAGTTTTTCAAGGTTGTGAAAAAGGAGTAAAAATAAGTTGTTTTTCTTCAAATTTTTCACATTTTCAGCCAATGTTTTTGGGTTTCTTTTAGTTTGGATGCTTAGAAACATCTTTATGCATGTTGATCTGCTATTCTTGTGCAAAAAAATCCCACTTATTTTGCTGCTATATGTAGATCTTTGTGAATGTTTGAAGAAATTCCAAAAAAGTAAAAAATCTGAAAAAAAATGAAAATTTTAGGTTTTTCTTGTGATCTACCTCTACAAATTCATTATATTGTAGATCTATGGATGATCTAACATGTCCATAGATCAATTGAAATTTCTTCTAAATAATTTATTTTTTTAATTTTCATAATAATATATATTTTATTTATTTATATTATGTGATCTAACTCTATAGGTTGAGTATGTTGTAGAGCTAAGACAAATCTAACATGGTCCATAATTCCATACATCATTATATTCAAATATCATGTAAAATTTTTAATTTGATTTTTTTTTTATTTTTTATTTTTGATTATAAATATTTATTTATTTCTCTAATTTTTTTCTATGATCTAAATTCTAATAATAAATATCTACAGTAAATATATGGATGATCTATTATGTCCATAAACCCATTCAATTTTTTGGTTACATATTAAATTTTGTAATTTTAGTTTAATTTCTAGAATAAAACATGCAAGATAATTATTTGATCTATTATGTCCATAAATCCATTCAATTTTTTGTTACATATTTACTTTTTCTTAATTTTAGTTTAATTTTTAAAGTAAAGCATGCAATATAATTATTTAAATAAAAATAAATAATTATTTAGTTTTTAGAAAATTAGAATGAATCATGCAAAATAATTATTTGATCTATTATGTCCATAAATGCATTCAATTTTTCTGTTACATATTTACTTTTCTTAATTTTAATTTAATTTTAGAATGAAACATGCAAAATAATTACTTGATCTATTAGAATGGAACTTGGAAGATTATAGCTGAATTAAGTATTTTATTAGATAGTATGTTTCTGTTCCCGTATATTGATTATAATGTTTTTTTCATAAAACCCACTAAAATATGTTATTTTTATGCATAAATAGATCATTTGTGTCTTATATTTAGTGATATTGATGTTTATTTATGACTTATTGGAGTATTTATAGCATTTCCATGCGTATCTTAATTTTTCATCTGTATCCATGCATATCCAAGGCATATCCCGATATGTCTCTTAAATTTGCCTTTTCGATATGCATAGTGTTTCTGATACTTTGAACCTTGCCTATAGGAGTGTCAATTTGATTAGATTTGGTCCAATGCTATCCAGCCAATGTGAGTCCATTATAAATGGACCAGGTCTAATTCAATCCAATCCAATGGATATTTTGGATCGGCTCTAATTCAATGTTTGGACCGTCCAATCTGTTCAAATTCATTTTGATTTAGAATGGTTTCAACCCCTGGTTCATTAGCACCTATGCTCTTATCTTATATCAATGGACCAAATATTTGCTTAATCTAACCCAATTCAATATAAATTTATTATGAATGCATCATGTCCAATCCAATCTAATAAATATTTTGGACTGGACCATGTTTTTATAGCTTGTATTCGGCCAAGATTTGCCCTAAACCACCGTATACTCTATTTGGAATGAAGTTTGAACCCAGGCCTAATCGAAGTATTTTAGAGAATTTGTCCTATTCTCAATCAGTCAAAAGTAGTTAAGAAGGGCTTGCCCAATTTACCGCCCCTTGTTAAAATTTGGATTATTTACTAAAACACACCCTGTACTTAATAATATTAATTAAAACACCTGCTATAGTTTGTATATTATTAAGACACCCCGGTAACTTCTAGCTTCTACCCATCTAAGGCGGTGTGTGGGAGGGCTTAACAATATTACTTCATTCTTGATAATTTTTACTTCTTATTGTAAATGGATAAACACAAATGGAAAATGTAGATAAATTTGGGTTTTGGGGGATTTTTGTTAGAGCAGGTGGTGTTTGATAGCACTTTTCAGACGTTTGAGGTTTGAAAACGTTGCTTTTTAGATCTCAAACCCATTTGGTGTATCTTCTTAAAATTGATCTTAATTTTGTTTTCAGATCTGAAAACGATAGTGCGCGGGCCGACTTTTAACGCGCTCAGACGCATTTCAGAGCTAGTGTATGGTCAAAATTACCCTTCAACTCTTTTCACAATGACACGCTTCACCCCTATTTAACCTCAACAAAAAAAAACTAGGTCATTCATGTTTTCTTCTTCTTTTCGAGCTCTCTCTCTTTCTCTCTCTCTCGTGAACCCATTCAACCTCTTTCTCTCTCATCTTCATACCATCGTCACTGCAACTCTCAGCAATGGCATGTTCTCACTCTCTCTCTCTCTCTCTCTCTCTCTCTCCCTTGTTTTCTCGCCACCATTGATGCAACTTGTAGTAGCGGTTCTCTCTCTATCTCTCTCCCTGTCTTCTTGCCACCGCCATTGCAAGTTATAGTGGCGATTGAGTATTAATAATAATAATAATAATAATTATTATTATTATTAATTATTAATTATCTTAATATTTTATTAATTATTAATTATTTTAATATTTTTATAGTCATTACTTATTTTTTAAATTTTAATTGTTTCATTTATTAATTAGTCATTTTTAATTATTAATTTTTTATTTTTTATTTGTACTGCTTCAATATTATTTTGAAGTTGAAAATTATTTTTCATGAGATAATTCGAATTGAACTCAACATTTCCAAATAGTATGTTCAAGGGGTAAAATAATATGTTCGAAGAGGTGTTTTTTCTAATTACTTATTTTTAAAATAATCTTTTTGTATTGAACATTTGATGAGTTGTTTATTCCATAAGTGATTATTCAAAAAATAAATAAAATGATGAATTTAACCGAAAAATATAAGGTTAAATTTCTTAAACTATCCTTATGGTTTAGCTAATTGACTAAGTGTACCCTTACTATTTGAAAATTGACTGACGCTACCCTTATTGTTTCTGACAATTGACTAATACTTCCCTTACCATTAGCATCCGTTATTATTCTGTCAAAACCCGTATACACGTGAGACCACGTGGTGTTTAAAATTCTTTTAAAACCCAATATTACCCCCTCCCTCGATTCCCATGGAGCTATAGAAATCAGTGTTCCTGGAGAACTTAGATGTCATTTTTGGTGAAAGAATAGAGAATGTTGGAGCCTGAGTTTTTACAAGGTTGACTGATTTGGCATCTTCGGCAACCTTCATTTCACCTCCAAAGCCTCTAAATTCCTAGGAAGAGAAAAAGCTATTAGCCTGTGAAAGGATGATGAATTTCTGATATCTTTTTCATTCCATCGTGTTGTGTATTTATTATACACATACAAGAGATCTGCTAAAAGGGAAAAACTAACACATAGATATGTACAAGAGATAAATTAGAAACTAAACTAACAAATATTTACAACATATATACTCAAGAGTTCAGGTTTTTCTCGAACTCTTGAACCCGGCCATACATCTCGGACTAGGTGACTAACAGCCTATGATGACAGTTCAACATTCCGATTTATGATCACTAACATTGACCGTCTGTATTCCAACTTCTCTCAGATCATGATATCGTTTACTAGGAGGTCAGCCAATTAAGTTGCTCATGAAGTGCCTAAGAAGTTCCTGGTTTTGCAGATCTTCGTTTCATCTTTGGCAAGATAGACGGCTTTGGTTTTGAGAGAGAGGACGCAGAGGAAGTCACAATCGTAGAAGTGGAGGCAGACTTTAGAGAGCTTCTATGGAATGGATGTTAGAAGTGGAAGCGAACTCTAGAAGGTCATCTACCCGTTTACCTTAGAGAAGAGATGGAGAGGTTTATCGTCAATGACAAGTTCTTAAACCACCTGAAAGAAAAAGTAGAAGAGGAAGAATGAGGGAGAAAGGAAGCAGCTACTGCCGTTGGTTCAAGTTGTAGCAGTGGTGGCAGAACAGGGGAGAAAGAAAAAGAAAAATAAGAAGAGGAAGGAGCATGGAGCCCAAGTCTTCAACGTGGAGTCTGCGTACTGGATCTGAGATTTTCCCATTAAGTTCTCTTAAAACAGTCAGAAAATTATCTTTAGATCTGCTTCTAAGACTGTTAGGGCCATTCTTTCTACTTCCAGGGTTTGATGAACCAGCGTTTCTTTCCCCTTTTTCTTATTTTAAGTATTAGTCAATTGTCAGAAACAATAGGAGTAGCTTCAGTCAATTTTCAAAAAGTAAAGGTACACTTAGTCTATTAGCTAAATCATAAGGGTAGTTTAAGAAATTTATCCAAAATATAATTGATGTACCCATTCACAACTGGTGCATGCAACTGCCGGAACAAAAGAAGTTGAGCTGATGAATCTGTAAACAGGGACAAATGGCTGCCAAAGTGATTGGCCACCGCTGGAAAATGCATCATTGCCTTTCAATGAGATGCATAAAGGAGAAAAATGAGAAAAAAAAAAGAGGAAAATGGACCATAAACCTAAATTGGGAAGGGAATGAGAAACGGTATAAAGTAGGTGAAACCTTATCATGTTTGATGAGGGGTATTATGGGTATTTCAAGAAAAAAGGAGGGACAATGATGGAAAGAAAATATCAAATAAGTGCTTGAAAAGAAGTCCGAAGTTGGAGCTTATTTCAATGAAAAGTGTTTATTCAAATTACTATTTTTAAATTCATTTCATTCCCTCTCATTAATCCTATATTTGTTGTAATAACTCTCATTCTCTCTCATTAAATCCTAAATTAATGGTAAATTAAATTATGAGCTTTTTGGACTTTTCTTGACCAAAATATCCCTATTTATGAATTTGGACCCTTTATAAGTGTGTGGGCAAAAAGAATCCCCTTCATTAAGGTTATGTTTGATTGAGGTGTAAATGTGAATCGATATAAAACTCAACCATTATTTTGCATTTACATCCATTTGTTTCCAGTGTAAAACTCTACACCCGGTCCACTTTCGCAGCCATTTGTTTTCCATGTTAAAGTTACATAAAAAATCAATGTAAATGACATGTCAATAAAATCAATGTACTTTTAGATCCATTTTCACTTAAAAAATCCCAACGGTCTATGCAGTTTTAAATCGATGGACCTTTACACTGAATTTTTCCATCGATTAATTTCCATTCTCTATCATCATATACTTTATTTGAAGTACTTTTGCTTCCCACCAATAAATTTTACTCATTAAATTTATGTTCAATATTTTTAATAATATAAAACATGTTTTTCAAAACCAACATGAAAATAAACCACCATTTTTGTCCGAGTGGTGGATAAGTAAGTTCAACCATCCATTTCAATTTTCAAATGAATCAATCAATAATTCCATAGTTAAAAGATAAAAATTTTAAAATAAATAACAAATAAATATTACAAAAATTACAAAATTTTGTGAAAAAAGTTAGGCACATATCTAATATTATATATGTATCATATTAAACAACAATAAGTATAATAAGCAAGAAGTATTTTTATTAATAACAAAAATAAAATACATAGTTTAAAATTGACCCAAAAATGAAACAAATTTCCTATTCTAGTGATGGGCCAATGGTTCAACCCTTTAGGTCAAATGGGTCAACCTATGATGTTATAATTAAATAATAAAAACTTTTAAAAGATAGAGACACAAAAACTACTAAAAGTATAGAAATTTTATAAAAAAATCATTTAGGTGCATCTCTAATATATTTTTAATATTATGTATGTTCATCATATTAAAAAATAAGTATGACAAATAGCACTATTTTTATTAATGATAGAAATACAATGAAAAAGTAAAGAAACTATAGGGATGCAAATTAGGTGGGTGTACTTGAGCCCAGACCAACCCAACTCATAATTTTCGGCCCTCAGGCTAGGCTTAGGAGTTAGGGCTAGAAATAAGCTCAAATGGTTGGGCTTTTCTATTTTTCATGTTGGGCCTAAGCCTAACCCTTAGGTAGCCCAAGTTAGGTCTGACTATGGACCATTTTGGATCAGGTCCAATAAATACTATGGACCATTTTGGACCAGTCCAATTCAATGTCTAAACCGTCTACTTTGTCCGAATTGGTTTTAATTTAGACTGGTTCCAACCCAAACTTTAGACTATTTAGTCTGAACTGGTCCAATACAATATGTGGTCTGTGCAATCCGTCCCAATTGATTTTGATTTGAATTGGGTCCAACCCCAAACCGGTCCATTGACACCCCTAGAAGAAAGCTCTTCATATCCCTGGTTATTTTTCCGTGACTCCTTTTCTGATCACTTCGATCAACTTAATAATGAATGAAAGTTCATAGTTTTCAGGTGTACCTGTATAAGGTACATGTATCTGTTAAAAACTTAAAATGTAGTTCAAAAATCCTATTACATTTCGTTGAATAAAATCAACACCGAACAATCTGTGAAGAACTTAAATTAAAAACATCATGAGGCACAGGTATCCAATAAATACAAATAATTTGCCTTTTTTCCACAAATTTATTCTATAATTAGAGTTTTCTTATCTCTACTCTTTAAAAAACCAAATTTACCATAGGATACTAGGATAGTGCTTCGGTTAAGTCCGAACGCCACCCACGACCACGACCACGAGCATCGAAAACAGTAGACTAAAACAATTTCATGTGCTTGAACTTACGCATTCTCATCAATCAACGAGTAGAGTAGAGAGACGAAGAGGTAAATATATGAATGTATAGACGACGTCTCGTCAGTCGTCACAACTTGAAATGATCTAACATAGGGCTGCCATCAAGTCCTTTTGAATAGAAGTATGAACTAAACTCTGGGATCGTAATTTCCCTGTAAATAGGGGGATTCTCCTCTGATAGCAACTCCTTGATTGGGCCATACCTCTTGATGGATTCCTGAACCGATGTAGGGAAGAAGCAAGCCACCGACACTCTGGGGCCTACGTTGTTTGCAACTACTCTATGTTCCACGCTTCTAAGTCTATCATTTGAAATAAGCTGCATCCAAACAAAACTTTGTTGTGTTTTTGTCAAAGCACCAATACCTAAAGTCAAAAACACTGAAAAATCCAAGCCCTATTGTAGGATGGATCGATTGAGCCCACCCATGAATGTGGAAATAAAATCATACAGAGAAAGACAACCACGAAGACTTGCCTGCAAAAGATCTCCAATGTTGACTACTAGAGCCCCACGCAGAGGGGGCACATCAACCCAGTGGTTTTGATGCAGCACTTGGAGGCCACCAATCTGGTCTTGTAGAAGGATGGTCATAAAATCGTTGTCGGCATGCTTGCTGGTTCCCATTGTCAATTCAGGCTCTGGGCAGGCAGGGTAGTAATGACATAAAATGGCATGACTCTCGGCACACCCCATGTCTACTAGGTGACTTGGTTTAAGCATCAAAGCTTCAGACAGTAACTCCAACAATGTAACTGCCAATCTTTCAACCTGCCCTGAGTATTGGATCATTATATCTCTACAATTTAAGCACAAAAAGTACTGTGAATTCCATTGCTAAATACAGCCTAAAACCTCTGTGTTTTAACTTAATTACTAGTGGGAACCCGTGCGATGCATGGGATTTGTTTAGGGAAACTCAAATAACATATTTAAGAAAGGGATGCAATGCTGTTTATAATAATTAATCTTTATTTTATTACTTTGTTATAAAAATAATTTAGTAATTTAGATTAAGTATAGTATTTTTTAGAAAAATATAAATTACTGCCAATTACTTAATAAAAATAATTATTTTTCCATATTATTTGTTAGTGTTCTGCTTTATTTATTTTACTTTATCAATGGATGAATGTTACAATTTTTTGTAAATATAAAAAATTAGGTTATAGTCATAATTAAATTAATCTATAAATTAACTTTTTTTAATTATAATTAAATTAATCTAAATTCAAACTTGAGGTTTATAACTTTGGGACCAAAAGCAATATGACATTCATAACTGGACTGAACCAAACTGAGTACAACTTATACATGCTTTATTTTTAAATTTATAAGTATTTTTAGATAAAAATTATTAATATTAAAATTAAAGGCGTAAGGTTACTCACAACTAAAGCATCAAGACCGGGCTTCACCCAGTCTTGTACTCTGTGTTCTCGGACGTTTCACGGCTGATTTCATAACCACGGGTAAACACAGAAGTGCTCTCACATGAAAGCATCCATAGTTGCCCCCGTCTTGGGAACTGGGATACCCATATATAACTAAACCCTGAGTCTAACCCCAACTCCCTGGAGTAGATGTGAGAAAACAGAGCACAGAAAGGAAACAAAACATTTCAGATTGGATGATTGTGATAAATTGTGCTTGTTGTTTTTAATTTGTAAAGGAATATATAGTTACTTGATGTGTGATTGGGTTCAACACGTACCTGCACACTTGAGGAATTTCTTCAGGGCTCGGAGGATTAGGAGACATGACGCAATACAAGGTATCCCTCCAATTAGCTGCTGCTGACTGATACAAAACGAAGTTGCTATTGTAAACCACCTTTTTCTTGGTGTCGCGACTGTAAAATCTCTTTCTTACATCAACGTCTTGCTCGTTGAATCTACGAACCCCTTGAAGAATCTCATCCAAAACACTGGTAGGGATTCCATGATTCACCACCTGAAAGAAGCCCCATGTCCCCGATGCATGTCGGACTTGGTCGACGACGTCTTTCCGTCGAACAGCATCTTCGTGGATGCCACTCAGGTCTATGACCGGAATCGTAGAACGTTTCTCACTTGAAATAACCAGCTTCTCATCGGATTTAAGTGATGGGTCGATGAATATACGAGGGACCTTCACAATCCCAGAGTCTACGAGTCCTTTAACACCAGCTTTCGAGTCATCAAATTCCTTCAATTCTTTCATTCGGTCAAAATCCGATGCAGACTTGGTAGACACCTCGCCAGCGCCTGAGATCACCATTTTCCCTTCTTTGTTCAGTGCGCTTGTAGTTGTATGAAGGAGAGGAAGATGATCGAGTTCGAGGCAGATACAGGAGCCAAATATATTAATTAATGGACCTGGTCAGAAATCAGAATGAATGGGCCGCCCCATCCCTTCGATCATTCAATTGCGGTGAATACTGTAGAGGCTCGTTTGTTGGATCCACTGGCCACTATAAAGGACTGGGTCTTGGACTCGTGGTCGTGGTTCAATTATTCAAAGAAAAAGAGAGCATCTCCGGACCACGGGCCACGGAGCCGTGGGTGAGTCACCTATGGGCTATGGTCAGTCAAAGTCCAATGGGCTGCCACATGGGAGATCAGGATCCTTGGCCTGAAAAGTCAAACCTCAATTATCTGTACCAAGTACCAACTCCTTCTACCAGTCGTCTCCTCCACAATAATTTCTCTCCATTAAAACCATACAAAAATAGATTTCGTCAAGTTTTAGATGATGTGCCAATATCTATCTGTCGGGTAGCCTTAATATCTAGGTTGGGATGTCAACGGCTCGGGTTAAGCATGGGTTTGCCTCAATTCTAATCTGACCGTTCAGTGTTCAAATTCAATCTAATTAGATTTTATCCCATTCATAGCATTTCAATTATATTTTTTTAACACGTTTTGAAAACTTAAAAATCATTAATTTAAATTAGAAATTTGTTTTATAGATTTTAAGATGTTACTTTTTCTATTTAAAAATGTAAATAAATCCTAAATTTGATGACTACGGAATTAGAAATCAAAAAAATTACAAGAATACTTTTTATATATAGAGGATATCATGACCGTGTGGCGGGTCAGCCAAAACCTGAATCTGACTCAGGTTAAAGAACTAAAATCCTAACCTGACCCTATAGGGCCGAGTCAAGCCAGATTTACCGTTTAACCCAACCATTGACATCCCTAAGTGTAGAGAAGAGAACTGGTGAGTTTCAAATTTTCAATCTCAAGGAAGGTCTGAATTGACCATTCTATTTCCCCACATATAATAAATTGAAAAAGGTGCAGTCATCAACTGAGGTACCTTGGTTTTATAGCTCTTGGACTGGGCCAAGATCAGCCCTGGACCAGCCTATACGCAACTTGGAGATGAGGTTTGGGTCCTGGGCCAGTCTAAGATTTTGGAGAAGCTGTCTTACTCAATTAATCAAAAGTAGTTAAGTAGGTCTAGCCCAATTAACTGCCCCTTGTTAAAATTTGGATCATTTACTAACACGCATCCTGTATTTAACTATATTAATTAAAATGCCCCATGTAGTTTGTGTATTAGTAATAAGACATCGAGTAGCTTCTAGCTTGTCTTAGCCTCTTACGCGGTGTTTGGGGAGGATTAACCTGATATATTTTAATATTTTTATTGTAAATTGTAAATGGATAAGCACGGATAGAAAAAGCATATATATTAGGGTTTTAGGGGATGTTTGGGAGAGGTTTAGGCAAGTATAGGTTTCCCTACCTTTCACTTCCTTCCCCACTTTTCCCTTCTTTTCCCCACTTTTTCTTTCAAACTAAATACAACCTCATTGTTTAAATAAGTGCTTATTTCAATAAGCAATTATATGAGTGTTTGGAGAGGTGCTTTTTTCAACTAGAAAAAACAAATACCCACTCACAACTAGTGTAGCTTCCACTGCTTGAAGAGGTGCTTTTAAATAAGTGCATATTCCAATAAGCACTTATATTCCATAAGATATTATTCCATGGAAAATGAAAATTATAGAAAAAAAAATACAATTGGTGTACCCACTCACAACTAGTGTAGCTCCCACTGCTTGAAGAACAAAAGAAGTTGAAAGGAGAAATGGCGATCAAAGTCATGGCCACCACTGGAAAATGCACCGTTGCATTTCACAGAGACAAATAAATGAGAAAAATGAAAAAGAAAAAAGAAAGGAGGAAATTAGACATAGAAACTGATGCAGCGCGATCCGGATACTCCTATTTGGCGAAAACCTTGCTCCTAGCTAGTGACGAACGATACCTGAGACCAAGAGGAAAGTGAAGAATTCCCAGGGAGCTCGCCCGGCGGGAACACTCTGATGCTTAAGTTAGAACTCTGAGAGAACTGTAGAGAATGCAAAGAGAGAGAGAGAGAGAGAGAAAGAGCTAAGAGTGCAGATGGCGCAAGTTCAGTACCTTTGCTCCTTGGGGATCGGGGTCCTTTTATATTGGAGATCTGTCAAATCAGGCGTAACCACCTCTGCAACAGCCGTTACTGCCAGAGCCAAGGTGGCGGATGCAGGCAGCCGTTGCAGGGTACGGAACTGTCAGGCATGCCACATCTTGTAGAAATGGCAGGCACGACGCCGCCTGACGAGAGACGTGGACACAGCCTCCAGATTCAGTAGGTACTGTTGTCAAGTAGATCTTTCCTGTAGATTGTCGAGCTACTTTGCACCAAGATACCTTACACTAGGGTGCTGGGGGTGCACCGAGGTGCTACTTTGCACCAAGATACCTTACACCGGAGTGTTGATGGTGTTGATTCGAAGTGTTTCCACTTCGGGGTACTTAGCCGCAGATCGGGGTGTTCCCTTCTCAGGAAAGAAGAGTTTGAGGCTCACTGGGAGGAGCTCGGGTCTTGGAAGGAGCTCGGGACTCCTCAATTGGAGGGAGCTTGGGGTGCTCCTCCCTTAGAGAGAATTCGGGGTGAGCTAGATGTTACTTCCCGGTTAGTTACCACATCCACCGAGTTGTCCGGCCGCGCTCCGACGAGTTCGTTATGCCGAGTTATGGCCAAACTGTCACGCTAAGTTGTCACTTATGCCAGGTTCTGTCCATGTGTCCCCGTGCTATGAGGTCGGAACAAATCACCCTTCATCAATTGTCCCCCACTCCCCGTGCTGGGGGTTCTGACCCAACGCAGGGAGTCTGTGGTGTGACGGGTGGATTTGGCTCGGAGCTTAGGCCTTCTTGTCAGGCAGCTCATTGGTCGACCAGTTCACTGCTCGGCTCAATCAAGGGCAACCCGGGTCAAGTTCTCAGCATTCGTCTTGAGCTCGCGTCTGAGGTCTCTAGATCGGGTCAAGTCTCTCCAGTTCGGTTGTTTTTCCTTGGTGAGTCCCCTTAGCTTTTCTTTTAGTTTCCTTATTCCTTCCAGTTCGTTTTCATTTTTCGCCATGTCTAGTTTCGATAGTCAATTGGATGAGCCCGAGGTGGGTACCTCGGATCAGGATGACCCTACCGAAGTCCAGTCTCACGAGGTGCGGGAGGCCTCGGGTAATCTGGCGTCCACCTCTCACCGAGGTCGGATGCCAGATAGGTTCAGTCCTTCCACCATGACCCTGGAGAGGTTCCGACACCCTATCCAGCAATATAACCTACCTAGGGAGTATACCTACAGTCTGCCTGCGGGTAACTTCCCATGGGAGCATGGTCCTGACGAGATCGTGATATTCCAGGAGCAGCTCGTAGCCAGGCTCCGTCTTCCTTTCCACCCCCTTATCATAGAGGTTTTGAATCACTTCAACGCCACAATAGACCAGCTTCACCCGAACTCCATTCGTAATGTGGTCGGGACCATTCCCCTCTGCTTTTATTACGCCCTCCCTTTAGACTTAGATATTTTGTGTTCAATTCTCTCAATAAAGAAGAGCGCTTCAAGCGTTCTCCCCGAGCACAGGCAGGCCTACTACCTGTCCCCTCGCCCAAGTTTCAAGTTACACACAAGCTTCCCAGCAAACTCCCGGCTTGGAAGCAGGACTACTTTGTAGTCCAAAACACCGCGGGGTGGCCCTTCCCCACTCATTGGAGAGCGGCTGTTCAAGACCCCAGTGTTATCCTAGACAAGAAGATAAGGGAGATGCTCCAGTCATGGGCTAAGCCCGGGTTTAATTACAAGGATTATATCGCCCAGAACAAGCTCATACAGGCCGACTTGAGCCCGAGTAGGTCGTCTTACCTAGAGTTAAGCATTTTACCTTAGTAGCTTGTACCTTTGAGTTGCTAACGCCAAGCTTTGTTGCAGGACCCATGGAGGAAGAGAAGCTCAAGGGAGAGAGGCTTTTCAGCCATATAAAGGGGAGGAAGAAGCAAGCTACCAAGAGACTCACATCGAGTCCCCGCAGGCCCCCACCTCCGAGTCCGAGCTTCCCCAGGCTCCTACCTCTAAGCCTGAGCTCCCTGATGTACCTCCGATCATCGATTTGGAGGAGATCTTACCACCTCGGGAGCCCGAGACATCGGTAGAGCCTGTTCCAAAGGAAGCTGTGGAGCCCGAGGTCACCACCGAGGCCGCAGATGCAGTAGCTGAAGCTTCCGCCGAGCCCATTCGCATAGCCGAGACGGAAATTTCCAGCACAGGGAGTCAAGAGGGAGCCCGGAGCATCCTGATCCCTCAGTGCAGCCTTCGAAAGAGTAAGGGAGCTGTCTACGCCGAAGAGGTCTCCGTTTGAGCCGACCTCACTCCTGCTCAGCTCGGAGCCCGAGCTTCTACCCACACAATGGTGGTAAGTTATAAAGACTTCTCTCCCCCCTTTTTTTGTCATTATCTCTTTGGTTCTATCCAATCTTCTCTTGTCAGGTGAACTCCGCCGTGCACGCCTTGACCCTTCAGTCCGAGAGGCACCTGAAGCGGGCTCTGGCTGCCGAGGACTTGGCTCAAGCAGCCCACACCGATTTGAGGGTAGCTCATAACTAAATCTATCGGCTGGAGAGCGATGCTTCAGCTCAGAAGAACGTCATCGAAGCACTGATGGCGGAGAAAGAAGAGTTGGCACGCGAGAGGGACGGGCTGAGGAGCGAGGTGAACGCCCTCAAGGCAGACAAGGGGGCCTTAGAGCTCGAGGTGAAAGGCCTAAGCAGGATAAGGGAGTCATGAAACACAAGGTGGAGTTCCTCAAGGCTGATATTGAGGAAAAAACCGAGATCTTCACCCAGGCCAGAGAGGAGACTAAGGTCAAGGCCGTCATGGACTATGTCAAGTCGGATAGGTTCGATACCATGCTGGGGGAGGCCTATCATAAGTGTTTCAAGTTTAGCAGGTGGTTGATAAGGCACACGTACCCCAAGCTCGACACAAGTGCCATCACCACTTCAAGGATCACGAATGATGTAGCCCGACAAGCTACAAAGGATCCGGATTTCGAAGAGGAGGGTGGCGACGACGAGGTAGATGTCACCAACCTGGCCGAAGCTCCCAAGGAGGT